GCTCTGGAAGATTCTCTAGGATCACAGGTTAAAATCTCACCAGGCCCAATGCAACCTTTCATTCTTCTAGAAGGGATAAATCAACCAGCATGGACTTCACTGTGGTAGGGTGTTTCAGATGAGGACTTATAAACTTAGACTTCTTTGCTTTGTAATGACATTAAAGATATCATGGGGTGTTTGTTCTAAGGTTTGGAGACTATCCTCAAGACTTGAGTAATTTTTGCTTGTACTTGAAGTCTGCGCTATGGGATGCTTGAACATTCTTATATATTATGAAGTTTTTGTGTGCCTTATTAAATTATGGAAATTAAATTCACCTTTATGAAGTACTTGCAGAATTAACATTGTCTGGAACTAGTGATTATAATGTATGTGGTGTGATTTGAACAACGCTGTAGTCCCATGTTTATTTTCCGTGTGTTCCAGGAGAGTTTTATGCACCTCTCAGCAACATAGCAAGGAAATTGGGCTAGTGTCTGTGTTTTTAATAAGCCACAGACTACTGGTGTGATACTCAATTTTATAGTCACAACATGCAACACATTTAGGCCTCTGGTGGCTTCTTTGTGTCCAAGGCCCCAAAGACTGTTTGAGGACGTTAATATATTCACTCTCATTGCCCGGGTCTGATGGAACCTGCCTTGATTACCCCCTGCCCTGCACTATATTATAGACATTCATCTTTGGATTTCAATTCCTCTTTTTATATATTTTTTAATGCTGTTGCTTTTAACTGCTACTTTACTTCCCCCATTGTTTATGATTAGTTAAGTTGTCTTTCTGGCAAACAAGTAAACAAGGAGAATATTGAAAGGGCAGGTGGTGAGTGTGTGGAGGTGGATACAGAAGACAAAATCTCATAATTGGCATTTAGATGTTGCCCCTTGATAAAATGAATTTAGAGTATACTGTGGAAATCACCAAGAGCTATCTATAACACTTTGTGTCTCATGTTTTTGCTTCATTTTTTTCTTGTTTGATTGAAAGCCACTTAGAGAGTTCATTTTCATTTCATCATGAAGCATGATCCTGTGGCCTTCTATCAAAACAATTTCCACACCCCACCCACAAGTCCCCATAAGGAGGCCATCCTACTCGAAATATACAGAGAAATAGGCAGGTTTAGAAAATAAAACGTTTATAATTTATGTGAAATTACCTGAGAAACTGCCTTCTTTGTGTAAATACCAACCTTCCCTAAAATGTCTGAGTTTATTTCCTGCTGAAACGCTTTTACAAACCATAATTGAAGATATTCCTTGCATTCATTTCCTTTACTGACCTTGCAGGCCTATGGAAACACCTCCGCTTTTCTCTTCACATACGATCATAATTAATTCCATCAGCTTCTTCCAGCTGGAGAATTTAATTTTTATTTTCAAGAAGTTAATAGCTTTGTAATAGAACAAATGCAAGAAGTGGTTCCTCTGAATGGAGATGCCATCTTTTATGTACTTCAATGAATCTTCTCTTTCTATGTTTAGTGTGACCTATGTTCTCTGCCAGAAATTGTAATATGATCTCATTCATCACTCAGCTTGCTCAGTCTCTTTTGTTCATTTTTACCCCAAATCACTTACTGATAGAACATAATTATAATTATGGTGTTTGCTTGTCTCTGATTTTTATATTTTTATTTGGAAAATAGTACAATCAAGATGAGTAAATCTTTGTCATTCCATTTGAATATTTGCTACTAATATGGTTTGGGTCTAGATTCTCCCCCTTCCCCAAGCCTCACACAGTCATAGGTGGTGCTTTTTCAGAGGTGGCTGAATCTAGATTGTATGCCCTAGGATGAAAGGTGTGTGATTACTAAACCAGCACACTGAGTAGTTTGTCACTGCACTAATCCCAGTGGTCTAGATAAGATAAAAGGGGCAGGAAAACACTGTTAAGGCTCCCTTGTTGCTTTTGCTACCATGTGGGTGCCATGAATTGTTTCTCCTCTGCGATGCCCCTGTGCCATGTGTCACTCTGCCTTGGAGCAGATTATGGACTGAAACCTCTATGAACTGTGAGCTAAATAAACCTTTCCCCTTTTAACTTTGAGTGTTTTGGGTATTTTCTCTTGGTGACTAACGTAGCTACTAAATAAATATAAATAAACAGACCAGTGTAGCACTTAGAGCTCCATAGTCTGGGAAAACATCACACAAATGTGCACACACTCACAGGCACACAGACACTCCATAAGAAAAAGACCTTTTCTGCTTTACTCACTGCTTTGCATCATGGGCCTAGATCAAGGGCAACCACATAGTACACCAGCAAGAATCACTTGTTGAATAAATGAAATTACAGTTTATCTTTTCCTGTATATTTCTATGTAGGTACTAAAATATAAAATCTCAGTTAACTATCTCTTAGCAAAATTTTGTGCCCTAAAGTTCATGCAATTTCAAAATTTAAAATAGTTAAAGGTAAATTTTCTTCAACTAGAAAATATCATGCATACATTCATTTCACAAATAAGTGTCAAGAGTATCCTGATATAAAATATTATAATGCACACACATTTATCTACATGATTTTGTATTAATCCTATAAAAAATGGTCTCTCACTTTTTAGAGGAGAAATCCTAAGCTCAAAATAAGTATTCAAATTAAAATCCAGCACAATAATACCTCAGTTCACAAACACCTCTGTTAGCAAAGAATTCAGTTTTCTTTCTTTTTTCTTTTTTCTTTTTTGCTTACCATCTTTACTGAAGTTATACAAAAAGGATCCCCAAAAGTGAAAAAATGCATTATATACAAAAACACTTTCCCCTGGGAGGAAGGTTCTGCTCCCTTTCTTAACATGCAGTGGTTTCAACTGCAGCTCCAGCCTCCACTGCCCCCTCCACCGTGGCCCAGCTGTCAGCCTGTTTCTCACCCTCCTCCTCCATGTTTTCCGAAACTTCATTTCCACTGGGGACTGCATCCCCGCTGCCTCCATTGACTTCCAGCTTTTGTTTGGATTTCTTTGCAACATCCTTCTGGGGACAATCTTCCTCTGGTTTTCTCTTCTTTCTGACAAGGTGAGAAATATCAGTCACACAATTTGATGAGGATGCACCATCTGTTCTTCTACTGGCAATCATGGAGACTGAAGAGCCTCCCCTAGTAGGAGTGAAACCTGAAGCAGAACTCTCCACCAGAGTAGCTTTCAGCGCCAATTCGCTACATTTCCACTACGCTGGGACTCCTTTGCATCTTCTATCTTCTCTGATTTCAGGTAGCAGTTCCTTCAACCCTCAATTTCTTTCTCACATTCAGTAGATGATCCCTCAAGCCTCCTTTATCTGCTTGTTTAGTAAAGAATTCAGTTTTCAACCAAAAGCATTCAACAGAATTTTGCTTCCATTCACAAACTCATTGAGTGACAAACACAACCATGGCCACTTTCGCCATACAGTGCAAGCATCTTCCCCCAAATTGTAAAACAAATTAAGTTTTTGAACCAAGGTACCACTATCGTTAGTCAGAATTAATAATTTGAACAAGAAAGTTTATTACTTCTATATGTCTTCCTCATCCGTTTTCTCCATTGTTACAGTTTTTGGGGGAGACTTGGGGTGACCAAAGATGGTCTATTCCTGATTTTGCTTTCAATGAGACAGAGCTCCTCATCTATACTTTGAGGAATGAGAGGTATACACTGATAATTTTCCTGATCTTAAAATTTTATACAAATTTAATATCTACTTTGTGTTATAATTGCATCATATAAAGAAAAATGAGCAATGGTTTTTCCCCTAACTTCACAATTCCATTTTCTAGTTTACTCAATGTATTTTATAAATATGATATTTTTCTTTTTTCTGTGTGCCACTGTGTTGGCAAATTCTGCAGTAGGGGACATAAAATTTAAGGAAAATTTTTATAAAGTCTGTATCATTAGATGGCATAGTCTACTGTGAAATTTTGGAGAAGAGACTCATAATTCATTCATTTCTTCTTTCATTCATTTAATTATATACCTCCAAATGTTGCAGGTCTCAAAGATATGATAATGTTAAAAATTAGATAGATACGTACCCATATGGCATTTACACAGTCCTTCTAAAAAGTAGTCTTTCTAAGTCATCTCTAACACCAGTGTCCTGCTTTTTTCCTGTAGGTATCCCAGTATTCTTTCAAGAACTATTTCAATACTACCTCAACTCTTCTGATTCACTCCTAATAATTTCTAATCTTACAGAAAGAAAAGTCATTCATCTAAATGTTTCTTTGTTCCTATATGATAAAGTCAAGATTCTATTTTATAAACTCAAGATCCTGCAAAATCTAGTTCTTGCCAACCAGTCTAGCTGAGCTTTCCACCATTCTCACCATCTTTTTCTGTGATCTAAACTCCTAGGAATATTTCCATCTCCAGCCTCATTCAAGAGGCCACCAAATTGTTAGTCTGTTTCACCTCACTGACATTACTATTTCTCACTTTTTTTCTGTCTTGTAAATACCTTCCTAGCTCTTAACATTCATGTTAAATGTGATTGCTTTAACCATTTTTCATACATAGGTTCTCCTATCCTTACTAGTGGTTCCAAAGTTATACCTATACTAATCACATTGGAAGCTTCTATAATTACTTCCTGAACTGAGTTCTAAATTTGGAAAGTGGTGATTTAGGGATATTTTCTATATCTAACTAATAGAGTTGACTTAGACATTTGTCAAGAGGGCAACTGTGGTTTATCATCGGTAGCAGAAACAGTACAGATAAAGGATCAAAAGGGGAGAAGCACTGGAGAAAAAGAAAACACTGTGTGGCCAGACTTCTGGATAAGTAATTAAGCGCAATAGAGACATCAGCTTTGAAATGCTGAATTAATAAATCTTGAGCTTTTAGAAGTGAAAAGAAAATTCAAATAGATCATCTCAGTGCCATGCCATATATCCTTGGAACTGACTATTTTTGTCTTTATTAGGCTCCATTTTCAGCTGTGAGATCCTGCCACTCTTTGAAAGTATCTTAGCTCATTTTACCTCCTTTGTCTGTGTGTGTATAGGGATCAGTGAGTCGGGAACAAGACAGATGTGCCAGGGAATAAATGCACCACCTCAGGTTCATCACTCAACCAATGACTAATGGGCCTTGAAGAAGTGCGTGAATATTCCTGCTTGCTAACACTTCAGATGGGAAACTGTGAGTCCCACGTCCCACACTGTCTCCAGCATTGCCTAATGAGACAGACCTTGAAACAGACCTAAAATGGCTTTCTTTCCCTTCTCTGTAGACACTTGCCCACCCCTTAGACTATTTCTTGGTTTCATGTTCACAAATAAATTACTTGAACTTGACTCATAGTCTCTGAATCTGTTTCTGAAGGAAAAAAAAATAATGAAGACAACTGATAGTAAAAGTAATCCTAGAAGCAGACCCTTGGAATGTGATTCTGGAATCTTACCTTGATTAGTAGGTTGGTGGTAATGCCTGACTTGTGCTTATGAAGAATTATTAAGCCTGACAAGATCCCAATGATGAATGTAACTGTATTGTATACCTAAACTGTACCAATAAACTTAATGGAAAAAAAGAATTATTAAGTCTGATTTGTGGTGAGATGAGATACAGATAGAAGGGAATGCTTTGTCTTATGCATTTTAGAATTATAGTAAAAATAATCATCACCAAAGCTGAGGAGTGATTGGTGCTTGTTAACTGACATCGAAGCTCTGAAGGAAGATAACACCAAATTTAGGTTAGCTAGTAACAGCCTATGGCATGGTACAGAAGCCAAAAATGTATGGGTCCTTTTATGAGACCCACATTTGTATAGTTTGTGGGGACACATATTTTGAAAATTATGACCACCATTTCATTATGGAAGTAAAATACAAACAAAAACAATGAACTCACTGTCCCAGCAAGTTCCGTGAAACCTCACATGGTATATCTAGGTCAATATACCTGAAAATATTCAGCCCCCAGAATTTCAGGAATGCTTCAACTGGGTTAACGTACCCACCTTGGTACAGGAGAGCAGTGTCCCTTCACCTTGAGGCCATGCTTTCAAGCACACTTGAGGTGGTTATTTTACAAGATGATGCTTAATTCCTGTAAGACCTGCTCCCCACTGCCCTGATGGTCTTTAGAGCAGTAACTAAAGACAAGGCTCAGCACATAGCCCACTGGAGACAGGCTGTCTGTGTTATGGGAAGGAAGAGCTTACCAATAAAAGAGCAAAAGAATCTGGCTATCATTCTGCAGTGGAACTGGAATAATATGCCTGACAGTGGGTCTTGAAGGCTCTTGACTTGAGCTGGAAGAGAATTATATGAGGGAGATTTATTGATATGGGGACAGTCTTCTCTGGCTCAGGATTTAATATCTTGGCAAGGACACTTGGAGCCAGTCCTAATATGCTGCTTGGACAGCTCCTTGAAGTTTGGATAAAAGTGATGGCCTACAATCAAAAGTAGACTTGCCTGGGTTTCCTTGGCGGAGTATTGTGGATGGAATTAGAAGGTTCTGAGTACTGCAACATGCAAGGATGGATTTTAAATGTCAGACCTGAGAACCCACCAGGTAATAGCATCTCCGGGAAGTCTAAAGTACACTCCTTTCAGTAAAGTAGTACAAAATACTCCAGGGAAGGGGCATCCACATGGCCCTCTTATGGTGGCTCTTATGTCATGAATGTGACTCTCCGAGATGCTGCTGTTGGCTCCATAAAGATGATTGAGATAATAGGATTCTGGAAAGGCAGAGACTAGGTAACAGCACTTAACCATCAGTGCATAATGGGTATAAGACAAAGGGCTGATTATAATCTCAGCCTACAAACACAAACAGGAGCTAGGACAGGCTACATAATTTGCAGGGCCCAGTGGGAAATGAAAATGCAGGAAATTTGTTTGAAAATATTAAAACATTAAGATGTCATCAGCAGAAAGATACACCAAACAGCACCCTCCTGTGGACAGAGCCCTGTTCTTTTGTTGTTGTTGTTAAATTCTTTTATTGGTACATTGTAGGTATACAACACAATTACATTTCTCATTGGGAATTGTACCTTTACATCATTCATCTTGGTTCTTATTTTTTCCCCATTCCTAGCCCTCCCTTCAGCCCCTCCACCCTTCCCTACTTACAAAGACTTTATTTCCATTTTTTCTATTTCTCATCATTTTTCCTTTCCTTTCTTTCCTTTCCCCTGCCCCTCCCACTACCCCTACCCCTTTGGACCTTTTCTTCCTATTTTGCATTATCGATTATTCATTCTAATCATTGGTACATTTTAGGTATACAATATAATGACATTCATCACTGGAAATTTGCACCTTTACATAATCTCTCTTGGTTCTTATTTTTCACCCTTGCCCAGCCCTCCCCTCAACCCCTCCATTCCTCCCTATATACAAAAATTTTGTTCCTATTTTTCCATTTTCTCATATTAATCCCATTCCCTTCTTTCCTTTCCCCTAGCCCTCCCACTTCCTTCCCCTTTGACCCTTTTCTTCCTATTTCACATTACCTATTATACATTTTAGTCCTTATTTACACTTTCAGTTTCTCACACCAGAGAGATTATTTGGTATTTATACATGTGTGTCCTATTTATTTCACTTAAGAGTATTGCCTCAATGTGCATCCACTTAGCTATAAATGTCTCTAATTTCTCATTTTTTATGGCTGAGTAGTACTCCATTTTATAAAAACAACCACATTTTCTTTATCCAGTCTCCAGCTGGTGGGCATTTGGGCTGTTTCCAAGTTTTAGCTATCACAAACTGTGCTGCTATGAACATGAGTGCACATATATCACTGTGGTATGATTCTTTTAATTCTTTGGGGAAGATACCCTGCAGGGCAAGAGCTGGGTCAAATGGGACTTCCAGTCCTAGTTCTTTGAGGTATCTCCATACTGATTTCCACAGTGGTTGCACCAGTCTACACTCCCACCAGCAGCGGAGAAGGGTGACAGAGCCCTGTTCTGATGCACAGGGTGCACATCCATGACACCCACTCCAGTATAGACTGGCAATGATCATAGGCCATGGTGTTTCCAAGCAAATAATCAACAGATACATTGCTGTGTATCAAAATATAACTATATAACAAAAATATGGGAATAGGTGAGAAGACTAATGAGAACTACTGTGATGGAGAAGTGATAATCCTTACCCAATTGTGACACTTAAGCTAGTTTTCAGTCCAAAAACACTACGCAGAAGGGGAGGCTGAACCTATGTGAGCAAATGCCTACAAAGCCAACACTAAGCAGAGACTGAGGAATAACTCATATTGGAGACTTAATACTTTTGGAATTAAAGCTTTGACAGGGGGTGGGCATAATATAATTCTAAAACCACATTTGTGTAGGAGAAAGCCAAACAATAGTGACAGTCTAAGAAGTCAGCTATGTGTGTTTGTGAAAGTGGCTTCTGACATATCGATGCATTGACACATCTCAAGGTAAGTTGTGTCCCATTTTGAAAAGACTGAGAAAGATGCTTTCGGAATCACTATTATTTCATATCTGCAAATGGTGGCTCAGATTGTTTAAATATTAAATGAAGAATGGATTGTAGATTATTTTGGATTTCCTATATAGTTTCACAAATTCCTGCAAAGAGAATCACTATCACTCTCTCTTTTTTACCCAAGAGAGCTGTGTCTCAAAGACACGGTTGTTAGTACCATCTGAGTCAAGGCTCAGAATCCCTTTTCTAACTTGCTTCATATTTCTCTGTCCCCCCCTTCTGTTTACACTCAGTGTTCCAGCTACAATGAATGTCTTCCATCCTCCGTGTAATTCTTCCTCTCTTTTTTGATCTTCAGACATGCTCTTTCCTCCTTTTGAAGCACGTGCCCTCCCTATTTCCCTACCTTCTCTTCCACCTCCTTGTTAGCTATCCTTAGTTTTCAGACTTAAGCTTGGGTTAATTTAGATCTCATCTATCTTCGTCTTCCAGGTTCACATGCTTTGGTCATTTAGTTTTGGATAAAAGATGAACTTATTTTCATGGAAACAATTTTATATTTTTATCCTACTTAAGTAGAATTCCAAATTTTATTTTTGATCTGTTTTATTTAAACCTTTACAGGAGCTATTTTGAGAACCAGTAAAGCAGGAGAGTTAGAAAGTTAACAGGTTCTTAGGATGGTACCTTCTTTGATTTGCTGAAGTTCTTTATCTTCAAACTATTGAAAATCTTTTTCTATCTTTTATGTATGAATTAAAATAGTTTTAAGTGCAGAAAATAAATGTATCACAGGGAAGCTTAACCTCCTATTCCTTTAAAGGATTGCTTTGGCTAGTAATATTTATTCTTCTTATGGAACTTTAGCCTGTTAGCCAAGCCACTTCTATCCCTATGAATTCAAATGTCATTTTTCCTAATGGAAGAAAAAGTGTCTAGGAAAAAAAGTAATGTGGAAGATGTATTTTTTCTTGTCCATATGTTTATTGAAAACAATACAAATCACTGGAGTTGGGGACAAAAACCTTTAGTTTTTTTTCAACTTAATTTCAGAATGCCTCTGGTATCCTATTAAGTCATTATAACTAGAAGCAAGTCAGCAGTGACCTGGGATGAACAAAACATGCATGCATGTGTGTGTGTGTTTGTGTGGGCATGTGTACACACATGTGTGTGTATATGTTTGTATGTGTATGCAAGTTCTCTGCACACTTTCTTTGTAATGGTGGTTTGGGGTAAACATGTTTATTTGGCAATGAAAATTGGTATAAAGGATTCCTACTGATGAGATGTCTTTGCCCTTTATTTTTCTGCTACACTTGTACCTTCAGTAGTAATTTGTAAAAGGTGATTTGCCCTGAATGTGGAAAGGCTTGATTCCGGAGTCATTCTACAAGACTCTGTAAAATCCCTCCTTACTTGGGAAACAGAGGGAAAACTGGACAACAAATGTGAGCAACAACAACAAAATAGCACTCAAAGTAAAAATCCAAGTTAAGGGGGCCATCTATTCCTTGGGTTCACCACAGATGAGGAATCCTATGACAAGAATGTTTCTCCTGCTCCAGTTACTGGCTTAAGTGAATTCGGGCACCTCACTTAACCTCTCTGTGACCCCGTCCCCTCCTTCTGCCAACTGATGACACCAGTAGTGAGTTTCCTTGCAGTAATGTGACAATTACCCAGTTAATGACATTAAAATCTCTAAAGACTGAATGCTAGGAAATATTGAATAAAATGGTAAATAGGGAGAAAATGGAAGTAAAAGGCCTATAGCCTCAAAGGGAAGAATTATTAAAGGTTACTTTGAGAGGCACAGCGAGACAGCACCTAACATCTTCTAATTGCCGAATGCCTGATCTTATCCCTCAGAG